GTTTTCTGTAAATAAAATCAGATTCATATGCTTTGAAGTGCTTCTGTTAACCCACTTCCTCCTAGTATGGGCAATCAGTCGTTGTGATGGGGCTGTGCTGTGATGGGGACACTTGCCTGCAGAATAGGATGCTTTGTACTGCAGCATGCAGGGGGGTCAGGGTCTGGAACATTTAAGGCAGACTTCTCAACATCATCTACTCTTGAGGGGTGCAGAATGAATTTATACAAGATGGCTGGTCTCATTTTATGGTCCTTCACTGCCAAAGAGAGGAGACTTGTGGTTTTTTTCTGCTCTGTTCATCGATTCAAATCACCACAGTGACCCAAAGGGCAGATGAGGTGGGGAGCAAGAGGGTGGATGTATGTAAGTACAGCAGGACTTTTTCCCCCGGCAGCAGCAGGTTCCCTCATCCTTGTTTCCCCTTGGTTATGGGAAAGAGTGGGATAGAAATAGAGTCTGACTTCTTGTTTCTGTTTTGCAGTGGTACAGAAAACCGGACTACAACTTTTTTGAAAGCTATAAATTATATCGTAGTATGCATCCAGAGCAGCCCTTCTATATCCTGAATCCAAAAATGCAGTGGCAACTCTGGGATATTCTGCAGGAAAATTCTTTGGAGCATATTCAGCCTAATCCACCATCGTCAGGAATGCTTGGTAAGATAATTGCCCTCTAAACTTCTCATTTAGTTTTCAGGAACTTTCCAGGATGTCTTTTTTTTCCAAGACAACTACAGATTTATGGTGCTTATCAGACTTGCTTTTAAAGTGTTTGTCTTATGCCAAAATTTAAGCTTCCTGTCCTTAAAGCAGCAGCTCACTTGTGTTAAAGTGAGCGGTTTGCAGCAGCCCTCTGAAACAGCAATAACAAACGTGGCCTGCTTCCACGTGGAAACAGGAGAGGAGATTGCAACATTGAGATGATCTCTAGGATTTCTAGCTTCTAATGCCAGAGCAGTTCCCACGGGGTGTGAGAGGAAGGATACGGCTCCTGCCGGCTCAGATCTTGTCAGACAAATAAATCTGCTTACTGCAGATGAAATCTAAGTGCTTGCCTATTTTTAATATATATATAATATATATATAATATATATAAATATGGAAATATAGATATATTGAAGAAAATATATGGCTAAAGACTCAATGCGGAGGGGTGGGGATGGTCAGGGTGAATAGTTGTCCTGAAAAGTTCAGTGATACTCCCGCTTACTCAGCATGCTAACGTTTGTCTTGTTCATCAGAATGCCAAATCCAGCCTCTCGGCAAAGGGGCTCATTTTACATTCTGCTGTTGCAAAGGTTTTCTTTCTTATTGGAGAGCAGATCTCATCATCAGCTGAACAAAAAAGAAGTGAACTTCTCAGGAAGTTCACATATATTTGGAGTCATGGCATAGACGTATGGTTTTGTTTTCCACGTGGATGTCCCACTGCTGGGCTTTAGCCCCTCCTCTGCTCCCATCACTGCTCCCATCGCTGCAGGGGAACAGATGCCCTTCTACATCCGTGTAAACAGAGTGAAGTTCTTATTTTTGTCAACCCAGTGTCTAGTTTTCTTCCACAACCTTGCTCTTGCCCAGTACCTCTTCATCCCAGCATTGCTGGGATGTGTGCAGAACAGCTGTGTGACAGCACAGGCCTAAGTGTGAACGAAGATTGTAATTTGAAAAGGTTGGTAAACGTGTTTAAAATGCACCTTAGTTAAACCACTAGTTTCACAGATGGGAGGTTCTAATGTTTTGTAAACTGTGGTCCCTGATGTCTTGGATACTGCATGAATTTTTTTGTGATGTTATACATTGGTTCTATTTCCCTAGTAATAGCGAGAATATTTGCTGCTTCTTGCACTTGGAAGAAAAATAGCCAGAAACTACAGCTTGTGATCTGGCCAGCGAGTTGAGAGGTCTGTGCCCAGCACTGACGTGTCCTCAAGTGGTTTGTGTGGCTGTCACAAGGCACAGGAGGGCAGCACTGCTCTGCGGCGGGGGAGCTTGGGGGGGCCTGAAGAGCAGAGGATGCTCAGTCTCCCTCAGCCATCTCCAAGCAGAGAGATCTCCAAGGCCAAGGAGGCATTTTCCTGCCCCCTGCGTTCACAAGAGGCAGGTGGGGAAAAGGTGAAGGTCTCATCACTGCTTACCCAAGCAGGTTTGAGATGGGCTGTTTGGATCAGATAATTGCAGTTGCACAGTTGGCAGACGCCCAAGTTTCCACGAAGGTCACAGAGAACGATAGCGCTCTTAAAAATCGGCCTTTTGACGTGGCTGTGGCTGTAAACAGTCTGCTGTAATCAAGTTGATCATAAGCTTTGCAAGAGAGGGCTTCAGAAAACAGCCCCATCTGGCCAGGCTTCCTCTTTCCCCTTTATATCTGAACATTCAAAAAGAAAAACCCTTCCCAGTGGGGCTGGATGCTCCTTGCTGACCGCCTGTCTGGTGGGAACGGGTAATCAGTTCTGTGGTTTGACACGGGGTGTCTGCTCTCTTTCCCTCCCTAGGCATTGTGATCATGATGACGCTCTGTGATGAAGTGGACGTGTATGAGTTTCTCCCTTCCAAACGGCAGACGGACATTTGCCACTATTACCAGAAGTTTCACGACCGTGCCTGTACCATGGGAGCTTACCACCCCCTCCTGTTTGAGAAGAACTTGGTGAAGCACATTAATCAGGGCACAGACGAGGACATCTATACTCATGGGAAAGTTACTTTGCCCGGCTTCCGAAACGTGCGTTGCTAACAGATCGGTTTTTAGTGTGTCTAGGAATTTTTCTTGATTGTCAAAGCACTTTTTTAATCAGGGTTGTCAGATTTGTTAGGTCTAAGCACTGGTGTGTTTTTACAGCTCTTCCACGTTGCAACACTTGCTCGTAGGACCTTGTTGCCTAACTTTTCCCAACTGTAAGGGGGTGTTAATACATTGCGGTACGTCCACGTGGGATCTGCATGAGCCACTGCAATAAATTTACTCCCGGTGGAGCCAGGCTCATCAGCAGGTGGATCTCTCTGCCTTCATCTCAACCAATCATGGTGTATGGGGGCCGCAGGAAATGCTTTCTAAGCAGAGATTGCACAAGTCAGGATCAAATACTGAATATACTTTGTTTTGCTTCAAAGGGGTTACGACAACCAGCAACTTGGTTGATTGAGAAACAAGAAAAATAATTTAGAACTTGTTCTCATAGTCTTCGGAGCTCTTTGGAGCAGGGTTGATTTATGGAAACACTGTCAAAGCTGTGTACTGATAAGCTAAAGTCTTAGTCAAAATATTTTGTAAACAGTTTGTAAAATAACAATGGCAACTTCCTTTCAAAATGTATGACTTCTGAAATCATTCATGTGGCATTTTTGGCAAAGGAAGAGGGAGGCAATTCACATTTCAGTGATTCTTGCAATTTTTTAAATTTTTACTTTTTTTTAAATTGCTTAAAACAAATTTTAGTGAACATTTAATTCTCCTGTACAGTGCTGTGCTTGGTACAGAAGAAGCCTTATTTCAAAAACGTTTCAGGGAAGATGCTCTGAGGCACGAATGGGAGAACTCACTGGAAGTCAGTACCTCTTTCCAGCTCTCTGCTGGTCTACCTTTGCGATTATTAGCAAATTATTTGCTGCTTCTCTCTGGTGACAGAAATGCCACGTAGCTGCTGGCCAGATGAGTTCCAGTTCTCTGCAAGCCAACCCAGGTGCTCTCAGTTGCTGTGGGCTTTCTGAATAGGTTTGGGAGCAGGTCGTTGCCCCTGTGCTTCATGAGTGGCAGGGAGGGAGAGTGTGCTCTGCTTCTCATGCTGAAATGCAGGTAGAGCTGAGGACACCTTTTCCCTGCTCCAGGGGACGGTCCCTAGCAGCATGGTGGCAGTAATAGCTCTTCAATCTCTGTACATCGGTGAGAACACCTTCCCTGTCCCCTTCCGTACTGTTGTGTTTCATGATGTCTGTAAAGAAAGCTTTTTCTTCTCCTGTTTTGAATAAATCCTGTGAAGTCATTGGCCCGTTCTTGGCTTGGTGAAACCAGCATCAATGTCATTGCTCTGTGGCCTCGGGGACTTGTACCAGCCTTGCACCAGCGCAGGCAGGGCTGGGAGGAGCTGCTCAGCCCCTCGTTTCAGTAAGCCCAGGGCTCTTGCCCCATCTTGGTGAGAGGGCTGCTGCTGTGGGGCTGTTCCTCCAGCTGTGGGGCTGGCTTTTCCTGCACACCCATCTGTTGGGATGGATCGGATCTGTCAGTGATTGGAAATTGTATGTAATGTGATAGATAACATGTAAAAACATTCAGGTCCTTACAAGGCTGCTCAGGGGCACTAGAACAAGAATGCAATGAAGCCCGTGAGCAGTTGTGTCTTATTAAGTGTTCGTTATCACTGTTGGGGGGAGAGAGCTGACAGAGGAAAACCCAGCAGAGGCTGTTTGGGAGAACTCTAGCAAACTTCTCTCCATCTCCACTCTGTTTGTAACTGTCCTGTCTCTCGCCCTCGGCTCATGGGTTTGTCTGCTACAGTGATTTGCTGCCTTAGTTGGGATTCGGATCCCTTCTGCCTTTCTTCCTAGGCTGTCTCATTTGTTAATTCTTACAGTGTTGCTCTCCCCCTCCTCCCCTGTTGGGGTGACCAGACCAGTGACCCTCCACAGCTTGGGCTGTGTGATGGATGGATGGCACCTTGCTGCAGGGGAGCAAGCACGGTCTGCCTGCTGTTCACCCCGGGGTCCCCCAAACCACCTTCTCCTCTGCAGTGCTCCTGCAAGAAGGCAAAACATCAGTCAGGCCCCCCAGGGTCTTTCTGAGCCCCCAGTTACTTATGGGCAATAGTGTTACACTGGGCATGGCATTTCCAACGTTACGCTAACACTTTTAGCAAGATCCAGCATGTGATTCATTTACAATCTAAATAGAGTTTTACAAGAATTATGACAAAGCTCAAAATAGGCCAGTGTTAACCCTCTTTTTTTTTTTTTTTTTCCTTTGGAGTTTTACAAGAATTATGACAAAGCTTAAAATAGGCCAGTGTTAGCCCTCTTTTTTTTTTCTTTTCCTCTTTTTGGCTGCATAGATCCAGATCTAATATAAATTGCAAGTGACGACAAGTCTGGTGTTTAGAAGAGCCAAGTTTAAGTTAGTGGGCAGCAATAGCTAGACTGTAACAAAAGCCTTATCCCTCCTGCAGTCTCCAGGGATATACCTCCTCCAGTCTCCCCTCCTAACTGTTGCCAGAGTGTGAACAGCCACGTGAAGAGCAGGAAGAGAGCGACACTGGAGGGCTAAGTACTGGGAAGGATGCTCCATGCTGATATGGGAAGGGTGTGGGGGAAGGAGGAGAATGAAGAGATTATTTTAGGCTTGGATGCAGGAAGGATCTCTCCTCTCGATTCTGCTATTATTTCTGTTTCTGAATGTAGCTGTAGCTTCCTAACTTTTCCCTGCAGTATAAACTAATCTATAGCACTCACAGAAGCTACAGCCTTTGAAGTACTGAAAGGAAAGGGAATGAAAGTTAAGTACTGGAAGGTGGTGGGAACTCTGGCTTAATTTGAGAGAGACATCACCCCTGAATTGTCTTGACTTCAAGTTCAAACTTTGCATTATCCAGTATTCCACCTATTTCTGGAACTCTGTTGATTAACTGGCAACAAGTCCATTTTAGTATGGCAGTGGATTGTTCCTTCCTCTTTGCCTTTAGGTGTAGTAGAGAGCCAGGGGCAGGGCTGTGGAGAGGTTATCTGGTAAGACTGGAGCCCAGAGGAGGTAAGTGCAGCTGTTGGGGCTCATGGTTGGACGTGGAAGTGTTTGGGCAGTGTAAAAGCAATGACAATGTGTTACTGGCAGAGGAACACTGGACTTCATTGTCTTTGGAGGAGACCTTTCATTGTCTGGGCTCACAAAACTGCCTGTGGTTTTTTTGTTTTGCTTTCACTAAAGGGAACAAGAAGGGAGAAAAGTCCCAGCAATTCCAATTGTATGCACCTGAGTCAACACAGCCCTTCCTCACCTCCCCGAGAAGAATGGAGTGGTTGGGTGGAGACTAGATCTGACAAGACAATAATATATCAACAGTGATGGTTAAAAAATACATGCTGGCACTCCCTGGAGAGAAACACAAGCCACCCCAGCCACACATACCTTTTATTTTCTGGGCCTGAACCCATCTAAAGGCGCGGGTACAAGCAAGATGGCTTATTCTTCTCTGTTGTGTACCATGAAGTCTGATGCTTTTGCCCTGTAGCGCGGATGTTTGTTTTCTCTTGTGAGTTGTACCATCCTGGCAGGGAAATGTGTTTGTTTGCTTTGGGTGATGATACAAGGCACAGTGACAAAGCATCAGGCTTCATTTTGGAGCAGATAATTTGTGTGCGTGGCCATAGGTATCTTAGGTCCTAGCAAATGCTCCAGAAACAATATGCCACAGGGATGGAAATGCCCTGGTGCGTTTACAGGGGAGATGAAAATGGGAAAGAGCTTGTGGGGGTGGGGACATGTTACTCAGTGTCCCGAGAAGGCAGCTGCCTGCAATCACCATATTCACCATGGTATCACCTGGAGGTAATGAGCTCTCTGGGAAATGCTGGGAGCAAGCTGTGACCTGGCCAGCTTTGTGCCTTACTCCAGGTGAGAAGGAGCCACAGATCAGGGCTCCTTTTTGAAGACAGAACTTGCAAGGAAGAGGATGTACTTGTTTTTAAAATGCAGACAAAGGAAAACTGGTAAGTGGCCCTCTCTGCTCTGTAAGCAGGTAATAATTTCTTCTCTTACTGAACTAAAGGAGCAGCTTAGTAGTGTTGTCTTGTGAAAGGTATGGAAAATGTGTTTAATACACAAGACTGTGACTCCTCATCCCGATAACACAAGGGAGGGACATCTGGTGTCTCCTGGAGTTGGTCATGCACAGCTTGTGTCATGCACAACTTGTCTGCTGTTCTAGAGTTGGGTATGGAGGGCTTCTTCCAGGGGATTGTGCTAGAGGGCTGCAAACAGAGCACCTTCACGCTATCTCCACTGAAAAAGGAAGGAGCCCTCATAGGGACCAGCTTTCACACTCCATCTTTCATCCAAGGCCTGTGAAATGCCTTCCCTCTATAGATAAGTGGCCACCATTGCTACTTGTCCTCCAGGAGGTCAGCTCAGCGTTCAGGTGGGATCTCAGGCCGTAGTCCAACTCCTCTTACAGGGAGAGCTCTGGAACTTGCACCTTCATTGTTCCTTTACCTATCTGCTCCCCTGAGAGTGCGTGCTGGCAGGCCTTCGTCCACTCAAGATGTGTTTTGGGAAGATACACAGGTGTTTGTAAAGGCAGAATGGAAGGTGAGCAGGGAAAAAACGATCTTGGGAAATGGTTTCAAAGAGTGTGTGTCTAGTGCAATTTGTTCCAAGTAACTCTCAGAAAAGCCAGAGAAGGGGAGGAGCAGAGGGAGTCAATTGAAAGTGGTTTGGTTTGGTGCGAGTAACTTTTGGCAGAAGATAGTTCTCTTTAAACAGAAACAGATACTTCCCAAAACACAGTGAACTTGGTGTGCTGTCTCTGTGCCAGCTCTGAGCGTGCTGCTAGTTTTGAAGGTCACTGTGCATTGAAAGCTGTGCTGCTGGGAACAAAACCAACTTGGAATATCTTAATTTCCATTTGTGCAAGTATCTTGCAGTGCTTTTCCTGCCTGGCCCTGACATCCTTTGCAAAAACAGTAGCGAGGGACTCCCATGAGCCAATGCCGTTTCAGACCTGTGGCAAACCCTTTGCCAGTAGATGCTGATGGCTGTTCTCCAAGTTACAGTTTTAGCATGGAAATGTGTCGTTTGCAGTTTCAATGACTTCTAAAACCTCACGTGGCTTTATGAAGCCCTTGGGGTGGAAAGTTGTTTGCTGTCACAGGCCAATGGGGGCTTTTAAAATCTCCATCTGGGTTGGCGACTCTATGAACATCGCAGAGGTTATTCCCATGTCCTCTCTGAGGAGGTGGATTTGGGAGGACTCATGGGGTCACAGCATTCAGCACATGAAAGAGAAGATGATGCTTGCCAGTGGTGTGAATGGGTGGGTTGAAGGAGGATGGAGGGTCTGTTGACCTGTTGTAGCAGCAGCTCTTCTGTCCCTGAGCGTCCCCGCTGGCCACCGTGGCTGTGCCTGCTGTGTGGCATCAGGGCAAGTGGACGGACGGGCTCCTGCCCCCTTCAGCACAGGGGACCCAAAAGTGTCAGCAGTGGCATTAATCCTTCTGTGGTTCCCATTGTATCAGTGCAGGAGAACCTCAGGAGGAGGATTCTTGTAACCTAACCTGTCAAAACGTGGAATATCTGAGTCCTCCTCTCATATTGAAAGACTAAAATGAAATGCAGGGCCCTGGCGGGTGAAAATGGTACCAGCATTTGTAGCATTTATTTCCATTCCCCAAAGAAAATAAAATTGCTAATACGTGTGAAAGTAGGCTGTATTTTATTAAAAGCCAGTTTCTGGTGCATCCAGCAGCATAAACATAGGAAAACTGAATTGCATGGTCAACGTGTGCTTTGTGTATTACAAAATCAGTGTTATTTATGGCGTCTGAAGTGTAACATAAACACTAATCTGAACAGGTATATGGAGGAGGAACTTGGCTTTTTCCTGCTTCAGCTGAGTGTTCCACACCTATTCAGAAATGCTGAATAGCTGCATTACCACTTAAAATACCTCTTGAAAAAGGAGCCAGATCTTTAATTGGGATAAATCAATGAAGTATCCTGCCTTCAAGGAAGCTATAAATCATTTTAATGAACTGAGAATCTGTTTTCCCTCTCAGTTGCCTGTTTTCTCCTCGGGTATCTTCACGGACATTATCCTATTTGATTCCCTCTTGGTTTACCAAAGATATATTAAAGGCCCACGTTTCTTAAGAAAATGTGTGTGAGGGGGCATTTGCACTTGAATTGAGGAAGAAGGCTGAGCAAGCAGTTAAAGCTGGACCTCCTGTGTCAAGGACAAACTGCAAAGCAATTTGTTGCTAGGGGAATGGAGTTTTCTAGGTAATTTAGAAGGCGCTGTTTTGCTCCAGCTGCCAGTGCAAGGTGATTTATATGGCCCCTGTGAATTGGGACTGAGGCTGAAGAGTTTAAGGGAAATGATGAAGAAAACTTCTTTATGTGTTAGGACTGAGATGCTCAAAGCAGTTTTAACAAGAAGCAACTTAATCTTTATAAAGTAGGACTGTAGTGGCATATAATTTCAGCCTGACCGAGGCGATTGTGTCTGATAGCTTAGAGAAACTCTTTTCTTATTTTTAATGATTGAGCACGAGTTCTAATTTGCATAAATAAGATATGCAGTCTATTATCCGTATTTTTCCCCACTTAAATTCCAGGCACTGTTTGCGTAGGAGGATTGGTGAGTGACTCAGGCAATGCGATAGCAATTTGGCATCTTTACTTTCAAATGGCATGAGGTAATGCTAGGGCTAAGCTGTGTGTCCTGGCAGCAGGTCTGAGCTCCGTGTGTCCAGCTGGTCTCCAGCTGTGCAGGTCTGCAATGGCTCCAGAGATGCTGTATGTGTGGAGTGCTTTTTCTGCTCCATGATGTCAAGACTTGTGTAGCCCTGTTCAGTAAGCTTTGTAGCTTGAGCTGTCTTTGAGCTCACCTCACACGTGAGATGAACCATTGCCTCTGAGCTTCCATACCGAGCTTCTGTCCAGGTCTGAGCTGTCCCTGCGGCCCAGGGGTGGACAGAGTACCTCTTGGTCTCAACCATTTTGGTTCTGTCACCAAGTGGAGGTGACACAGCGGTAGCTGGGAGTGGCTGCTTTGCATGTCATGATCTGACTGGAGATACTGGTGCGGGATGCCAATGGAAAGCCACAAAATGGGTATGTATTGATAAAATAAGTCATTGTTGGATTGACTTCTCCTTGACCCTACCCAAGTTCTGCTGGGACACCGGTTTTGGGTGGGGTTGGCTGGGTGGGTGCTTTACAACAATGCTAACCTCTGGGTTTCTCTTCTGATGAATAAGAAAGTCAAACACATTCCTTCTGTGCCAGACTAATGAAACCACACCAGTCTCTTGCCTGCTAGTGACCTCCTGCCTGCACGCACCCAAACCGCTGCGCTGAAGGAGTTCTCATTTACTCTGTTTTAATGTTATGGTTGTACTTAATAAAGAAATATAATGATAGTGCCATAATACAGCATTGTCATATGTTGCAGAGAAAATAATAGCAAACGAGTAGCCTTGGTGTATGTGTATGTGAACAGGGAAGTGGTATGGCAAGAAATCAGCTATTTCCATTGCTGTTTGCCATAAAATGGACAATACAGGAAATGGTTTTAAGTTCAATTAATTTTCAGTTTTCTTATATAACTATTAATATTAAAATGAAGCATGTGTTGCCCCTTCTTCCCTGTGACCCAAAGTGTGTCAATGACCACGCTGTGTTTCAGGGTCCCTGCAGGCACACGGGGACTCCTGCACCATGGAGGGACCAGGTTCCACCCCGCTGCCCCTTTCCCTGCCCTGGAAGGTCTCTGGGGAGTTGGAAAGGGATGGTGAAGGCTGTGAGCGTGTTCTCCTTTGTGAAACCCATGGGTATATAGTGGTCTAATCCTGTCATCGTTTGCTATCTGTCCTATCTTGTGAGCAGATGGTTTCTGTGCTCAATATTTCCGTAGCCTCAGCATTATGCAGATGCTTTATTCAGTAATCTTCCAGCGTAAGCAATAAAGCATCTTTGGAAAAGCTGATACACAAATTAATAGCAGCTGAGCTGATACCATCACCTGAACTCACGCTTTGTTTTCATGAAGTGTAATTTGCCAGCATACCCCTCTGTTAGACGAGGTCTTAAATTCCCCACTGTGCCCAGCTGTAACTGTGAGTGGGTGGTCACAAGGGAGTTGCTCAGAGAAAAAACAATAAATAAAGACAGAAAAGTTCTAAAAGTGGGTCCTGGAGAGGTCATCCCCGTGGTTTGCTGAAGCAGATGAAGCTGGGGTTGTAATGCAGCAAGAAGATCATTGAAGGATGTGAGCGGGGTACGACTGTGAATGGATTTTAAAGTCCTGAGAAAGAGGTATCAGTACTGTACCACCACTGTATGTGGGAACATGTCCACCACGCTGCTTTCGGCACCAGGAAACTATGTGAGGGCAGATTTTTTGGTACAAAAAATATGGAGGTGAATATACAAGCTGTTTATGCCAAGCATTTTGTTACAAAAAAGCCCAATACTGAAAACCATCATTAGCTTAATCACTCCAAACTCCCTAAAGCTGTTGGGAACACCTGGGTATGTTGCTTGACGTTTTCAGCTGTGATGAAGCTGCATTTCAAAGCCCTTCTGTGGATCAGTAAATGCCAGAAACACTTTATATTTTTCTTCCAAGGAGGGGCTGAGACCGCAGGGACATCTCAATACAGGGCTGAGAGCTGCAGTGCTGTGGAAGCACGAGGGGTTGCTGACATTGGTCGGACTCCTGGGCACAAGAGTGATTCATCAGGAGTCATTTAGAGTTTCCTCGGTCAAAGTCTGCTCTGGAGAGCCCCCCCACACCGCTTGCCTAACTTCCTTCAAGTTAAAAATTTGCTCTGTATTTACTTGCTAATGTAAGTGTTGCTGTGATGACTGAAGACATTGATCCGGTGGAACCCACTGCAGCCGTTTCCAACAACACAGCCCTTGAAAACAAGTCTTCCTTTGAAGTCAAAGGTGTTTACTCCACCAAGGGCAGCGCTTGGCGCTTGTTCAT